TAATTCAAATTTCATCTACTTCTAATTAAGATAGAAAGCTGAAACTTTGAGAATACACAAAGTCTGATGATAATGCACTTTATATTCTTTGTTAACACATGAAATTAATGCAGTTAACAAATGTTTTTAGTGAATAAAGATAACTTATTTAATCCCAGTATTACATGATAGAGATAAAAATTACATTACATGTACTTCTTTCTTTTTCGGATGACCTGATGAGTTTTATGGAACGTTGAGTTTCCAGAACTTTACTGTATATTTCAATTTATTGAATTAATTCTGTTTGGCTAACATTTTTCATATTCAACTGCAGGAATTTTAAATCCTGTAGCCAAATTACTAAATAAAAATCTTATCAACAGTGAATGTAAAAATCACATGCATCAAAGACATAGCTGTACCAAACACCCATAACAAATAAAATAAATGCACTGAAATAAGTAACGAATACTCAAAACTCGCCCAAGAAATGCATCTGTGGTAAATAGTATCTGTATTTTATCTATTTATCACAGATGCATTGCTAGTAGTCCTTTCTTGCAATACCACATACATTAGAAAAAGGCTAGGAACATTAAGATTGCAGATTCACAATAGTACATACATCATACTACAGAAGGTTACCATGCTAAACACATATTACACAGTCAAGAAATTCTTAAACACAGATACATATACAAACAGCATGTAAACATAAGAATTTGTTCTGCAGCACTAGTCAGACAGGGCTCCACCCTGGTCTAGCACAGTACTAGGCATCAGAACATGCCATGTAAGATACACTCTTTGAATTTCTGTTGGATGATAAGATACACTCTATCAACACCACCAACATAATAATAAAATATTAAAAAATTAAAAAAATATATTTGGGACATTAAATCATATGGAGCTATTGTAACACTCATCTCAATGACAGTAAATGATATGTTTTTGGCAATGGAATATCTGTTAGCATGTTAAATGAATATATCTTTGTTGAAATGAAAAATATATTATTATATTTTGTTTCAACACATTTCAAATAAAGAAAAATCAAATATTTCATTTCTGAGTTTTTACCTTATTTCAACAAGATAAAAGAAAATAAATAAATGTTGAATAAAATTTTTCAGTTTTAGTTTATTTGATTTAAATATTATGATAGGATAATTTTTAAACTTATTTGGGATACTGGTGCCGCCTACTTGTCTATAGACATATATTATAAGGATTTTTATATTTAATACAATAAATAGAAAGTAATAACTAATTATCAATTATTATTCAATGCAAGTGGCAATACAAAATATGTATGTTAGAATCATACTATTTATATAAGAAGAGTATAAGGTTGCTTTTATAACTTATTGCATCATAATTTATAGTTAAAAATAGTCAACATTTAAAAGTAATTATAAACTCTAATAAAAATAATTTATAAATTAAAGGCCAATTATAATTATTATTAAGAATTACATTTAATTATTATTAAATCTTTTATATATAATTACAGTTTGTGTCCAAATTAAAGCTTCAACAAAATAAGAAAAAAGTCTGCTAAATATTTTACAGCAATTATAATTGACTAATTGGGAAATTCAATCAGCATAAAAGTTTGACTATTGCTTGCATGATAAGATCATCTGTTGTTCTATCAAACTGTTCTTTAAATAAATTTGTTTTAAAAATCAAGTCTCAACATTGTTTCTATGCATTTGGAGCTAGAACTATTTAAAATGTCTAAAACAATTCCTTTCTCACTTGTTTCTAGCCATTTACAAACTGAGTACAAACATTTTTGGCCAGTTTGTAAACGGCTAGAAACAAGTGAGAAAGGTTTTGTCTTAGTCACTCAAGATTGTTCCATAATTTAACAAAAATTTTGAAGTTAATATTCCTTTTGTATAATTTTATTATTTTTAACTTGTTAAAAAATAGATATTTAATATTACAATCCGTATAAATAGTGAAAATGTCAAAAATATTTATACTCTTAAAAGAAAATATTTCTTTTTTTACATAAAATAAGCATCCGATTCAACAACTATCAAGAACATACATAAACAATGATCAAATGACCATTTTTTCTATGGTAACTTACCCATACATCCTGAATCATGCATATACATACTGTAAATATCAGTATAGTTTTTAATGAAAAAAAATTCCCTAAAATAACATTTTAACATCTTTAATTCATCAAGTCAGTTTATTCACACTAGGCCTACATCCCAAATTATTGTTGTAGACTTTTTAATATTTTTTCTTGAAAATGGCAAAAATAGTTAAAATGTTTAGCAATTCTATAAACATTGTTTAAATATTCCATACAAAGTAAATTTTGATTAAAATTAATTTACTAAAATATTATGTATCATCGTAACTGAGTTTAATACTATCAACAGTATTAAATTCATTTAACATTAATATTCAGATCAAAGTAGCCTCAAATTATATATATTCACATATTTCTGATTAATTGAAAATGAATCACTTGAAAAAATGGCAAAATTATTAACAAAATTTTGGCAAATTATGTAATAAAAAAAAATAAGTAAAAACAATTTCAATAGTATTTGTTATTATTTATCAGAAATAAATGGCTTTCCTTTTTTCAATAGTTTATTGCAACTTCCACAAAATTTATATTTCAAACATTGAAATCTAAAATGTGATAAATTAATTTAAATCAGTATATTTCTGTAAGAACTAATGCAGAAAAGCATATTATTGTTTGAGAAACATCAATTCATAAATAAAATTTTTCCAAAACTCACAATCTAATGTTCTATCTAATGAGATAAAACAATTCAAATAATCAAGATATATTTATTGAATATTTTATTTGTGCTGGGAGATTTCTATTAAACTGAATCCTTTAATGTAATGAAAAAATATTTTTCTTCAAAACATTCTTTCTTATGCCAATTTTTGCAGCTCTAAATAGAATGCTTACTTCTGATGTAATACTGGTGAAATCATTTTCACTTTATTAAAACTTTATAAATAATTTTTTCATTTTTTACATATCAAATCATCATCTTTGAACTAATCAGAAGTAAGTGAAAATTTTACATGTAATCCCAATATAAGTACAGTAGAGCGTCGATTTTCCGAATCAATTGGGGACTGGGGTTGTCCGTATAACTGATATTTCAGATGACTGATTTACGTACGAAAAAATAGTTTAACATATCCGATGTCAAAATTTTTCTCCGTTGCGTGTCGCTTCGTGTTGAATTTTCATCGATGTTAAGCCTAACAAAGACTATTATATCGTTAAAAATTATTTTTTTATTTTGTACAGACAAAATAAATATATTGAAAAATATAAAAACAATAAAAAATTATACTTCAGATGTTAATTTATTATCAGAAACGTAAAATATTTGAGTAGCCCAAGACATAGCCAAAGATTGAAGCGCCACAGCACCGGCAAAAATTTAAATTTGCCGACTGGAATTCTTTCGGATGATTGACTTTCGGAAAATCGACGCTCTACTGTATTTATACTGAAAATATATTTCAAGCAACATTTCATTATATAATCAAAAAATCCAAGTTCAGGCTGAATGATCCATAAAAAGCATGTTTATAATGATGATGATAATACTTTTAAAAATTAACTGGAAATGAATTAAGTAATCAATATATACAGTTATATACTATATAACATATTAAACAAAGAGTTAGTTTAATATATAATATTGATTTCTTTGCAGACGAAATAATTGCAAGAAAACTACACCCCAACTTTTGAAAATTCAAACATTTGAACTTTTAAAACTTTTGTTGTAATTTTATTTTCCAACATAAAATATTGATTTGAAATTTAAGAATACGAAATTAGATAAATATAGACTGTTTAGATTGCATTTAGTTATTAACCTAGCTAAAAAAAAAGCCTTATTAATTCTGAAAAAGCTATTTGTATTGGCTATAAACCAAATTTAAAATTGATCACAATATCCATCATCATTCAAAAAATAGTAAGGTAGTAATTTAGATGGACATTTAGCATATATGACAAATAAACAAATACCCACAAACCAGCAATTCATTCTCTTTTAAACAAACATTTTTATCCATTTTTAATGGTCATCGTCAAGTTTCAATGTAAAACGGGGCATGCTTTGACATAAAATAGATCTTTGTCGTGTGTGTGTGTGTGTGTTTATTTTATATAAACTTGTATTTTTAAAACTGGAATCCAGTTGGAAGAGTAATTTTTTAAACACAACATTGAGCACACACGTATCTTTGCGACGTGCAAAGCTTTTTAAATTTTTGGAATTCACATTCTTTTACAAACATTCCATTTACATCGAAACCCGACGATGACCATTAACAATGGATGAAAACATTTGTTTAAAAGAGAATTAATTGCCAGTTTGTGGGTAATTGCTGATTTATTTAATTGTATACCAGTAATATCATGGCAATTGTAGTAGCATATATGATTTAAACACATTTAGAAATCAATCAATTTGATTGTTTTATTATAACTGGATGCATTTCATTTCAAATATAGTTTAAAATTATGTGATTCTAATAGCACATGAGTTACTCCTATTAAAGTATATGAATCAATATATAATTATTAATAAAATTGATACATGTCATTCATACAAAGAAAGAGCAGCTTTTGTTTTGAAAGTGGCAAAGTGTAGAATGCGTAAGTAATTCGAATTTTCCTTAACTTTTATATACAATAAACGTTCGAAATTCATTTAAAATTATATATATGTTGAGATGCCGGCTTCCGCCGCCTCCTTTTTGTTATCAAAATCGACCATTGCATATATCTAGCGTTATAACGCCTTGTTATACATTGTCTACACCGTAATAACTAGTGTAATTTTATAGTATGTCAATTTTATATGTGACAAGAAGTTACAAAGTCTCACGTGGTCACTTTCACCCCCCCTTTCAGAACTATTATCAACCGAAGAACAACAAAGGAATACTGCGCAGCCGCCATCTTCCGTCCTCATCCCCGACAGAACTTTTCTTACCTTTGAATTGAATCTACTTATATTCTTCTATAGATAATCCATCGATACATAAGAATCAACAATCCTTCAAATTAAGAATCTTAAGCATCTATTTTATACAATAAACTTTGTGATTGTGATCATGTGAACGTCATTTTTAGCGATTTATAAAGCCATCCACTGAAACATCGCTATAACGAACTCTAGGGTAATGGCTGAACACGGACTATCTAAAACACTGAGCATGCGTAAATAAAGTGACGTCACCTACCAAGCTACTCGACGCATGCGTGTTTGGTGACAACTTTCAACATGGCTCCAGTCAAGAAACGTGCGAGGACTGATTTGGACGACAAAAAGTGCTTTTCTGAATTACAGAAAAAAGCTGATCAATTCTTAACCGATCGTAGCTTTTCTAATAATCTTTTGGATATTATTTCTTTATGTATGGTGAGTATACAGCTATTTTGTAAGTCAGAATTCGTGTTTATTTTGATGATGTGTGATTTGCTGATACAATAAGTTTAAGAAATCCTCTTGTTTGGAGTTAAATACAAACACGAGGCAACTGTTAACGTTTATTATGACCCAATAAAACTGTCAACAGTAATTTTAATGATTTTATTTCATAAAATTCTATTAAACTTGGATATAAATTTACAGATTTGGTTTTTATTCAGACTATTGTAATTCTTTCTAAGAATGAACTTAAAAACATTACCTTTATTCTCTGCTCAGTAGACATTGTAACAGGTACTGTACTGTTTTTTTTTTATTACCTTTGAATTTTAGTTATATAGTTATAAATACATAGTCCAAAAGAATTATAGGTTAAATTCTACCTAGGTAGTCCCAATGGCAGCACTTTGGTTAGGTTAGATTAACTATATTTTTAGTAGACGTTTCCTTTTTTTTCTTTTGTTCAAGAACTACCATGACTCAATAACTAGTGACATTAAACACTCGGCGGCCTGCTGGCAGCAGTCCATCAGGAACACGAACAGTCAGAAGCACAGCCATTGACTACCTAAATAGACTTTGATCAAATTATAATCAATAAATCTGGAAACAACAGTCATCTAGTTTAGGATAAAGTCAAATATAATGCTACAGTTATTGGAGTTGGATTTATGGGTATATTTTTGACTTTTTAGGGTACAAATTTCATAATAATTGGAATAATATGTCACCGTAAACTTTGTACACTGTAAAATTTGAGTAATTTTCATAATAATTTGTTGTTTATTATTTTAAATGTAATAAATATAAATCTTCTTTCTTCTTTATCTTTGCCTTTTTCCATGTTTATATGGGGTCAGCATTTTCTTCTCTAATATGTTTCCTCCATTTATTCCTATCTCTCTTCTCTCTTAAGTCCTCTCTGATTTTAATCTTCCTCCACCTTATCTTTCCAATGCAGCTTTGGGGTACCTCTCTTCCTCCTTTCTTTCGCTACCAGTTTTCCAACCCTCTTTCCTACATAATCTTCACTACTTTGCTCTAAGTGGCCAAACCACCTCAACCTGCATTCTTGAATCTTCCTATTCGAGGACCCACCTTAACAGAACCTCTAATAAACTCTTTCCTTATTCTATCCTTCCTTGTAATAAACATAAATAAGTTTGGCAAATTGATAAGTGCTTTCAAGTCAATTGTATATTGGTATTTTTGGAACTTTATGTATTATAAGATTATTTATTTTATATGAGTGTTTTTCCATTAAAATACAAAAGTAAAATTTCACTTTTTTTGTCCATGCTTGAGAGTCTCTCATTGATTAGGTTGAAAACATTAATGTGTTTCCAACTTCATCCTTGGTTAAAAGTACTTAATTTATTAGACTCACTAAAGTGGCTAGTTCAACATTGTTACTAAAATATAAAATACACATGAATAGACCTAACTTTGGACAAAATATAGAGTCAGTTAGACACTGACTTCAAAATATCTATTTTCTCTTTATTAGGATCTCCAATTACAGGTAAATGGTATTACTATTAATTGAGTATTATTTATCTTTTTTGATTTACTATAGAATCATATGAGAAAATAGTTTGGAGTGAGACTCAAATCTATAACTTGTACATATCTGATAGCTGTATTATCATTTATGCTACCAAAACCATGCTTGAACATGCTTAAACTAGAAACTTTGTAGATTATTATGAGTTTAGAATTTACATACAATTTTTATGATTACTTTACAGTACATCATATTTTCATGAATTTGAGTCAAGCCTAGAAACAGATGAGTATTAATTATTTGCATATTTATGTATATATTTCCAGCAAAGATATATAAACTGCTTATTTTCTTCAGTTTGAAAATTTGAATCCAATTTAGACTGAACTTGAATCTGTAACCCCACATATTTTCATATATATTCATATTAACAATAAATAGCATGGTATTATAAATCATAAAAACAACTTTAAAAAATTTTTTAGAAGTGGGCTTTTTTTCTCATTAAATCTAAAATTTTAATTTTTTCCTCTAAATATAGGCACTCTATAACTTTTCTTTGGCTTATCAGAGCTTCCAGCATCATTATTTCTGCATTTTGGAGCCATGTTTGCAAAGTAATTAGCATAAACGAAACTAACTTGTAACTAACTTAAAATAATTGATATCACACAAACACAAGTTATAATCAAGAACTTGGACAAAGACTGATGTGGGTCTCAGTATTTAGTGCAAAACAAAGAAATGAGTCACAGTAATGCTTTCCCAGAACAAGAATGAGCAAAATGCATATTTTCTTTCCCCCCTTCTTTAGATTGCCGATACTTGAAACTGCATGTGGCAAGTCTGCATATGTTGCAGACATGCTGTATTACTTCCAAAATCATAGCTTATGATCTAAACCAGAGGTCACCAAACTATGGCCTGCGGGCCGGATGAACTGACCTTGCGGGCTGAATCCGGCCCACAGGCCATAGTTTGGCGAGGTCAGTTCATCTGGCCCATTGTTGCATTGTGCCACAAATGAGCTAAAATATAATTATTTATAGAGAAATATCATAAATTGTAGATACTTCTATGCATTTGGAGCTAGAACTATTTTAAGATGACCAAGACAAAACCTTTCTCACTTGTTTCTAGCCGTTTATACACACGTACGAATGCTTTTGCCTTCTTAATTAATAGGCCTTCTTCAGGTAAACTGTGTACTGAAGTACTGACAGTGTACCTGAACAAGGCCTACTACTACTGAAAACGTTCGTACGTGTGTATAAACGGCTAGAAACAAGTGAGAAAGGTTTTGTCTTGCTCAAATTGTAGATGAACTTACTATGTAAAAAAAATAAAAATAACTGTATGTAAAAATGCCAGAAGTGGTCCAATCTGATTTTTGCATCTGACAGTAATATAATTTGTAGGGAAAATCAGTGAAATAAAAAATTCAGCAACTTTTTGCAACTTTGAATATCAGAGCACTTTTTGTGTATGTACGTGCAATGAAGTTTCTAAGGAAAGTGATTATGAGCTTGCTGCAGCAATCGTGTTTGTGTATTGGTAAATAAATATGTTGGTGATCTTTATTTTTTTGTGTATTCAGTGTGCTGTATTGAACAAAATGGTTATATGGCCCATGCTCGTCATTCTCTCTGTTATTCTCTCGTCAGTTATCTGGCTCACTGTGAAAAAGTTTGGTGACCCCTGATTTAAACTTATTTATTTCTTCATGGATGTCTAATCCTAATCCTTTACTAATAATATACATATAGAGTGGAAAGTCCCTCTCTGTTTTGATGAAAATTATTAAAATTATATATAAACTAATTACAAAGATTAGTAACAATTGTTAAATTATCATGAGTATCCTACTCATGATGGTCATTTGACATGATGGCCACCAGAGCACTCTACATAGCACAAATCATTCAGTGACATTTCAAAATACATCCTATAGCATTTGAGGCATTATCTACAGCATTTCATGTTACAAAAAAAACTTACAAGTGAAACTACTTTTGAATTGCTTTTAGAGTGAATATAGTCACCACAAAAGTATAGCATAACACAGCACAAATTAACACTGTACACTGACTATACATGTAATTCTTAACAAAGTAGTTTCAATTTACTATGTATACTGTATAATACATTTGAACAACATAAAAGGAAAAGTAGAGCAGTGTGAAATTAAGTCATGTACTTTTAAAAAACTGATCAAGTTTTCTTTGTTTCTTGTCTTTTTCAATGGACTTGTCACATACTATAGTATGTGACATCAGTTGTCTCTTTCTGTCAAAACTCTAGTCAGATGAAAGAATGAAAAGTCATTTTAAAGGTTAACTCACATTGACAGTGAATAATGAAAACAAATGAGAATCTGGAAAATTATTATTTTTTACTTAGTGAAATTGGTTCAAACTAAAAAATGTAGAAAGTGAAAAACTTCAATGTGTTGATCTAGTGGAACAATTTGTTAAATGAGAAAATTTCACACCGAAAATGGTGTCACATGTTACATATTATTCACTTTGCTTTTTTTTGTCTGCTACTGATTTGCTTTCAGTATGGACTAAGCTGCTTTTTTACTTTTATGTTTTGTCACAATCATCATTTTATTTATTTTATTTGCAAAAAATAAATACAAAAATAATATAAAATTCATTTTTAAATGAATATTTTATTAAAAAATTAACAAAATATACAGTCGACCCCTCCCTATAACACTGTCGATTATTCCGTTTTATATGAATTCCATGTTGTACGAGTCACTTAGATTTTACAAATACGTGAGCCGTTCACAGTCCGGCACACGTATTTGTAAAATTTAAATGACTCGTACAACATGGAATTCATATAAAACGTACTAAAAATATGAAGTCGCAACACTCACAATTTCGATGGCTTTCATATCCAATCCGGCTTCCTCTAGTTCACACTGTAATCTTATTTTCTCTGATAATTTCGGGCATTTTTTAAGTAAAGTATTAAGAAAAGACAAAGTAATCCTCTGTTTAAACACACATACAAAAAAAAAGTAGAAGTTATAATGGATTAAAACGTATAAATCGCATTAAAAAAAAAAAAGACATGATTAGAATACCTCAAATCCGGGAGGAGTAGTTACATTTCCATTCAAGATGGCCACCAAAAATTTAAATCTGACAGACTCTCCATAAATAACTCTTATTTGAGACATAGCTTCTAACACTTTGTTATAACCACGAGAGCTTGTGTTACAACATTTAGTAAGTAACTATAAAAGATGATAAATTACACTTTTATGATTTTAATTTGGATATAAAAATATAAATAAATTTTATAGCTTAGTTTAAAGATCACGTTTTATAGAAATATCGTTTTATCTGATGAATAATTTATAACGTTTTTTTTTCTTTAAAAGAATAAGGATAGAAGTTGTATTTTAAGGCTGTTAAGATCTACAGTTTAGGGATTAAGTAATAAAGTAAATTAGATTTAATATTGTTACGTT